GAGCTCAGAGTCTGAAACTCCCTCTCGATTGAAAACAACCATGCCCTCTGCTGCCAGCCCGCTCCACTCGCACTAGGTACCTCAGTATTTCACTTCAGCACTGCGCCTCCTCTGAGTCTGGGTATGATATTCTCTTTCCTCCTAGTTGTAGAATTTCCACTCAGCCAGCCTTCCTGTGGTTCTGGATGATGTCCGTTCCGTCTTTTAGTTGTTTTCTCAAGTGGTTGTTCGAGGCAGCAAACTCTGGCTTTAACCTATGCCGCCATCTTGGTTTCTTTATTCATCTTTTTGATGACTTTTTGTTTGGAGCTCCAAGAACCTTCCCTGTGGGAACACGGATCATATAGTAAAATAGAGAGCAGGGGAAATACATCAACAGACAATTTCAACACTTTGTGATGAGTGCTAGGCCTATAGGAAGCACATGCAGCAGGAGAAGCCAGGGGTTGGGAGTCAGACCGGGGTCCCTGAGACAGTGACACCTGAGCTAAACCTTGACTCACCAACCTAGAAGGTTCAGCCAGGTGATGAGTGCGGGGGCAATCCCATTGAGAAAGAGACTGCAGAATTAGTATTATTTAATATGCTGGCAGATAGGTGTATCATAAGGAAGGAGTTTTTACTTTATCCCAAGGGTAAAGAGAATCTCTTGAAAGTCTCCAAGCAGGAAATTCACATGATTAGATTTGCACTTTGACAAAGAAAACACATTAGAAGTGGATATGCTTGAGGGGAATCTGGAGGCTAGTCATGGTGCTGTTGCATCATTCAGGTGAGAGGAGATTGTGCCATGAACAACTTCTGTGACACCCTAGGGAGGAGAGATTTGGGGAGATTCTAAAGAGGTTATGAATGTAGATTTGGTGACTGACTGGGGATATGAATGACTTCCAGCTTGAGACTAGGGCATTTCTTCACTCAAAATTCTTAGCTTACGTCCTTTTATCTACAAAAGTGTAAGCTTCTGCCCTGACTGGTTTGGCTCAGTGGCTAGAGCATGAGCCTACGGACTGAAGGGTCCCAGGTTCAATTCCAGTCAAGGGCATGTACCTTGGTTGTGGGCACATCCCCAGTGGGGTGTGTGCAGGAGGCAGCTGGTTGATGTTTCTCTCTCATTGATGTTTCTAACTTTCTATCCTTCTCTGTAAAAAATCAATAAAATATATATATTTTTAAAAGTGTAAGCTTCTGAGCTTGACATGAAGACCCTAAATGACATTTCAACCTTCCTTTGCAATCTTCCTATCTCACTTTCTCTCTCACCTGTCCCTGAGCCATAGCAAAATGCTGGTGATTCCTCAAACATGCCCTCTCTTTGTCTACTGTCCTTGTCCAACCATCTTTACTTGCCATCTTTCAAGCCCAGCTCAATGCCACCTCTTCTAAAAAGCCTTCCCAGGTTTACCCTTCCCTTATTCCCTCTACTCATTTTGGAAATGATCTCCTTCTCTAGGCTCCAGTAGCCATTTGCTTCCCCACCTGCTGAAACACTAACCACATTCTGCATTTTGCTTTTTGTAGAAGTGTCTTATTTTCACTAGGTAACCTAAACTTTATATAGAGAGCCTTGCAGGTAGCCTAGCAGAGCCTAACTATTTTTGTGTGTGTTATAGAATCTTAATATATTCATATAAAGTTCCATATATATACTATTACTAGAGGCCTGGTGCATGGATTCGTGCACAATGAAAGGAAATTAATTAGGAGGTGGTCAGCGGGACTAGGCGAGATGGGCCGGACACACCCTGGAGCCAATCTCCCACAGTCCCTCCCCAGCCAGCTGCACCTGGGGCAGCACCAGGGCTTGAAGGACATCTGTGGAGTGAGTGGGGTTCCTCCGGCAGGTAGGGTCCTTCAGCCAGGCCTGCGGGGATCAGGCTGAAACCAGCAGTCTGACATCCCCTGGGGGCTCCCGGAGTGAGAGAGGGCACTCTGCAAAGTTGCTGTAGCTGGGCAGCTCCTGCATTGAGCGTCTGCCCCCTGGTGGTCATTGCACCTCATAGCTACCAGTCAGACAGTCGGACAATCAGATGGTCACTTAGGCTTTTATATATAGACTAGAGGCCTGGTGCACAAAAATTTGTGCACTCAGGGGGGAGGGGGGGTCCCTCAGCCCGGCCTGTGCCCTCTCGCAGTTTGGGACCCCTCGGGAGATAATGACCTGCTGGCTTAGGCCTGCTCCCGGGTGGCAGAGGGCAGGCCCAATCTCTAGGTGCAGCCCCTGGTCGGGCTCAGAGCAGGGCCGATTGGGGAGTTGGGGCGCCGCCCCCTGTCATGCACAGAGCAGGGAGATTGGGAGGTTGTGATGCCACCCTCAGTCACGCTCAGGGTAGGGCCGATTGGGGGGTTGGGGCACCATCCCCTGTCACACTCAAGGCAGGGTCGATGGGGAGGTTGCGGCGCCACCCGCCGTCATGCACAGAGCAGGGCCAATCAGGGGGTTGGGGCACCGCCACTCTCACACTCAGGGCAGGGCCGATGGGGAGGTTATGGCTCTACCCTGTCACACACAGAGCAGGGCCCATGGGGGGTGGGGGAGCTCCCCCCGATCAGGCACAGAGCAGGGCTGATCAGGGGGTTGGGGCGCCTTCCCCTGTCATGAACAGAGCAGGGCGGATAGGGAGGTTGTGGCCCTGCCCCCTGTCACAGAGCCGCAGGGCGATCAGGGGGTTTGGGCGGTGCCCCCTGTCACACTGATCCTGGTGCCGGGAGGCCTCATGGCTCCGCTGATCCCAGTGCTGGGAGGCATATTACCCTTTTACTATATAGGGTAGAGGCCTGGTGCATGGGTGGGGCTGACTTGTTTGCCCTGAAGGGTGTCCTGGATCAGGGTGGGGGTCCCCACTGGGGTGCCTGGCCAGCCTGGGTGAGGGGATGATGGCTGGTTGCAGCTGGTCACACCCCCTTCAGGGTGGGGGTCCCCACTGGGGTGCCTGGCCAGCCTGGGTGAGGGGCTGAGGGCTGTTTTCAGGCTGGGGGTGACTGAAGCTCCCATCCGCTCCTTTTTTTCTTTTCTTTTTTTTTATTCTGGGCCAGCTTTAGCTTTGAGGCTTGGCTCCAGCTCTTAGGCCTCTGTGGCTGAAAGTAGGTTTCTGGCCTTTGCTTACAATGTTGCAATCCTGCTGGCTGAAGTCCGGTGGTATTTGTTACAGAGTTTCTTAAACTGCAGGCTCAGAGGCCTGCAGCGCAGGCGAGGAATGTTGGTTTCCTCCGTCACTGAGGCAAGCAAGCCTCATGTTAGTTTCAAGCTGCCTGGCTGCTGGCCGCCATCTTGGCTGACAGTTAATTTGCATATCTCGCTGATTAGCCAATGAAAAGGGTAGCGGTTGTACACCAATTACCATGTTTCTCTTTTATTAGTGTAGATATTCATGTATATTCATATTTTCCCACAAATAAGCAATACGCACATTATCCATGATTTTTTCAAGAATAGGCACTCTAAATCCATTAAGAGATGATTCACAACAGTTCCAAAATAACTTTTTGAAAGTTTCCAAAATAACTTCATACTTTTTATTTCAGAAACCTAGGATTAAACATCAATCTGGCTCAGAATTTAACATTATTCCAGAAATTAGTTAACCAAAAAAGTAAGAACTCTCACAGCACATAGGTAGAGATTACAGGCTCTGAAGTCACACTTGCCCTGGGGGCAAATCTCAGCCTTACCATTAGGCCTTGGGCAGCTTATTTGAGGTTTCCCTTCTTTCTTTCTTTTTTCTTTTCTTTTGTTTTCTTTTTTGTTTTTTTTTGTTAAAAAAAAAACACAAAACACCACAACAGACTAACTTTTATTTAGAATTTATAACTTTGCTTAGATTAACCTGTAAACCCATTTAGATCACCCTAGATGTTATGAGGTTTGTGTAACCACAACCTATAATTTGCTAAAACTTTAATAGAAGGGCTAGTTAAACTTCTTTTCATGTCTACACCATCCCTGATATTGATGGCTGCCAAAGCTGTCTTTTCAGGAGCAAGCCTAGGATGAAATTTGTAGGACCAGGGGCTGATCCGACTTGAACCACCAGGGCTGACCAAAGAACCCTCTACTAACCTCCCCATGAGCTTTTTTCACTGTACCTTCATTATAATACCAAAATCTCCCAAGGGCAGAGGTTTTCCACCATTTTTGAACATGTGATGTATGAATAGATATGTTTTCTAACTGCAAAGGCACAGAAATGCCCCTACCTATGCATTCGATGACAACGCTCCCCTTGTTTATGCATGATATCCCTGAATAAAGACAAATCCAATCCTTTGGTCAGAGACACAACACTGGAAACTCACACACACTCTCTCTCTCTCTCTCTCTCTCTCTCTCTCTCTCTCTCTCTCTCACACAGTGTGCTGCCAATAAAGTTTGTTCCTTCTAAAATCATCATCTAGGAGTTGTCTTTTGACTGGCAACTGAGTAATTGGACTCTGTTCAGTAACAACTACAAAGTTAAAGACTCCTTGAAGGCAGAGACCAAAATCTCAAGGAATTTTTGTTGATTTGAAATAAATGCCCTCTGGGGAAGTTCAGAGCCAAGAAGTTTTATGAAGTAAGGAGAATTCGGAGGCATAGGGGTTTCCATGGGATAGATAGAATTAAACCTGTGGGAAGACCCTAAAGGCAGAAAGGATCAGCAAGGGCATAGTTAATGTAAGGCCCGAGCTCCAGCCCAGGATAGAGGTTGATGCCCCGCTTTTAGGCTCCCTCCTGAGTGCTATAGGTCCTCAGGATGTGGAAGCCTCCATCAAGAAGCAGACTTACAAACACTAGTAGACCCTGAATAGAGCAGGACCAGGGGATGAAGTCTTTTGGAGGTTCTTGGAGTCAGACTCTCAACCCCACGAGTTAGAAAATCCAGATGGGAGGCTGAGGATTGGCTTAGCGATAAACCAGTTCACGCAGGAGCCCAGCGAGGCAGCGTCTCGGGTCGGACCGGGCTGCTCACTCGGCGGGACTCTAAGGAAAACTTACCACCAGGTGAACACAGTCTGTCATCATGGGCAAAGGAGACCCCAACAAGCCACAGAGCAAGATGTCCTCGTATGCCTTCTTCATGCAGACCTGCCGGGAGGAGCACAAGAAAAAACACCCCGACTCTTCCGTCAATTTTTCCGAATTCTCCAAGAAATATTTGGAGAGATTGAAGACCATGTCTGCAAAAGAAAAGTCAAAGTTCGAAGATATGGCAAAGAGTGACAAAGCTCGCTATGACTGGGAGATGAAAAATTATGTTCCCCCCAAAGGTGACAAGGAAGGGAAGAAAAAAGATCCCAATACTCCTAAAAAGCTTCCATTTGCCTTCTTCCTGTTTTGCTCTGAACATCACCCAAAGATCAAAAGTGAACACCCTGTTCTATCCATTGGGGATACTGCAAAAAAATTGGGTGAAATGTGGTCTGAACAATCAGCCAAAGATAAGCAACCATATGAACAAAAAGCAGCTAAGCTAAAGGAGAAATATGAAAAGGATATTGCTGCATACCGTGCCAAGGGCAAAAGTTAAGTGGGAAAGAAGGGCCCTGGCAGGCCAACTGGCTCAAAGAAGAAAAATGAACCAGAAGATGAGGAGGAGGAGGAAGAGGAAGATGATTATGACGAAGAGGATGAAGATGAAGAATAAAGGCTGTCCTGTAATGATGTGTGCGGAGTATGTGTGTGTGCTCTCAGGCAATTGTTTTGCCAAGAATGTGAATCCAAGTGCAGCTCAATATTAGCTTCAGTATAAAAACTGTTCAGATTTTTGTATATCTGATAAGATTCTTTGTAGAGAAAATACTTTGATAAAAAAAATGCAGGTTGTAGCTTTTTGAGGGGCTACTACATACAGTTAGATTTTAAGGCTTCTGATGTTAAATGTTTCTAAATATTTAATGGTTTCTTTAATTTCTTGTGTATGGTAGCACAGCAAACTCATAGGAATTAGTATCAATAGTAAATTTTGGGTTTTCTAGACTGTTGCATTTTGTTTTTTTAAAAAATTTTTGTAATAAAATTATGTATATTAAAAAAAAAGAAAATCCAGATGGTATCTACAGTCATTAGATACGCTTATTCCCTCTCCCCAGAATTAGAAGCATGCTCCCTTCTCTTACTCTCCCTGAGCCCTGACTGCCAACTCACAACTCGTTGGGATTCTGCAGTGACCACAAGCCAGCCTGACACTGCTGGGGCGCTCCCATAACTCAGCCTCAAAATACCTAGAAAGCTGAGCATTTCCTTTTTGGAAATGAGGTGGAAGAAGAAGAGAACTGCAATGAGGAAATATCCTGAGGACAATCTTGGCCTGAGCAGAGACCCACTATTCTGAGCATCAACTTATATGCAGGTGCTCACAGACTGGGTACACTTTTGTTCTCCCTAGATTATACCTTCTGATTGGAGAAACAGAGACCCATATAGGAAAAAAGAGCAACTCTACAACATCTTCTCTAAAATATAGTGGAAGAAGGTTTGGGAGTCAATTCTTAAGAGTAAATGCATTCCAGATAAGCAGTATAAATGGTTCTAGTACTCCACCTCTGGAGGACTAAGGAAAAAGACCAGCTGGAGAATTTTGGAATCCCCCATGCATGTTACTAGGCCACCCCTGACTCTGATTGTGCTGTTTTGGGCCATGAGAAGGAAGAAGAGGAAAGAAAAATTGAGAGAAAGGAGCAAAGAGCAGTAAAAAATGCTTAAATTTCATTTCAAGTTGATCAGTAGCAGAGGAAAGGAATGAAGACCATCAAATTCTTTAGTCATTCTCTTATTCACTCACTCAAGCATTTATTGAGGGCCCAGTATTGGAGGTGACAGAGACAAATGCCCTTAAGGAGATCACCATCCATGTGTAGAAACAGAAACCCACAGAACTCTGACACAAATGCCATAATAAAGGTGGGAAAGGGCATCAAAGGATTTAACTTGAGTTGAAGAGATTAGGGAAGGTGGCCAAGGGTTAAACTTTGAAAGATGAGCGGGATTTTGATCTGAAGAGGCTGAGAGAACAGTATAAAGAGATTAGAAGAGAGGAGGCCATAGCAGCAGTCTGCAGAAGAGTTCACAGCTTGAAGGAGTAAGAATGAAGACCTTTTTGTGAAAACTTCAGCCTCTTCAGAATAAACAAGACTCAACAGACAGGTATTTTCTAAGGTAGAACTTAAGAAGATGGTACAAATGGGCCCGAGGGTTAGAAGAGGGGGACTTTGGCCCTGACCAGTTTGGCTCAGTGGCTAGAGCGTCAGCCTGTGGACTGAAGAGTCCCAGGTTCGATTCCGGTCAAGGGCATGTACCTTGGTTGCGGGCACATCCCCAGTGGGGGGTGTGCAGGAGGCGGCTGATCAATGTTTCTTTCTCATCGATGTTTCTAACTCTCTATCCCTCTCCCTTCCTCTGTAAGAAATCAATAAAATATATTAAAAAAAAAAGAAAAAAGAAGAGGGGGACTTTGTAGTGTCCAAAGTACTGTAGCAATGTCCTGCAACTAACACATCACACATGTCAGGTGGTGACACTTAGGGGTTGGCACTTAGGTGGCACTACAGACCTGTGGACTCTCTGATCCTTCCGTAGAGTTTTCAGTGCAAGTGAGGTGAGCCTTCCCTCAGAAACCTGCTGCCCTTGAGGTAGCCATTATTTTGGCTACCTCTGAGCATCAACTCATACTTAGAGAGAAACACACCTGAACTCCTGGCCTGGTGAAACCGACCCAGAGCACAGTGCTCAACTGCACCTCCCCAGGGCCAAGTGAATACCCATCAGGCCACAGAGATCTTGTCCCATTTGCCCACTTTACTGGTGAGGAACCTGAAGCTCAGAGATGTTAAGTAAACTGCTCAAGACATCACAACCTAAAGAAAGTAGAAGTCCATTTCAAACTTAAGACAGGCTAATAGCACAACTGATACTCTTTCCACATATCCTACACCCTCTGATTAGACCTGGGGAGGCAATAGAGCGAGCAGAAGGACAGGAACCCTGCAGTCAGTCTGCCATATAATCTGATGACTCTGCAAATTGTTCACCTTTTTGAAACTTCAGTTAACTCACCTGTAAAAAAGAGATAATGGCAACCACTTGAAAGGGTTGTTTTGATAATTAAATTATTTTCAAGTACAAGAGAAAAAAATATGGGGAGCCCACCACAGACCTTGGCACTCAGTTAAACTTTGCTTACTCCACTTTGCCTTTTTGCTTCAGATCTTTTCCAAAGCTCCTCTGAGAAAGATGGAGGAGGAAGGAAGTGAAGGAGAATATTTCCCTCTTCATCCACACCTAGCATGCTGGGTGGCATGTCACAGAGGTCAGTACCACAGGTCAGAGAATTGTCAAATTCTGGAGTAGAGCTCATTCACAGAGGAAGAGATTGGAACCCAAGAAAAAGTAAGGTCATTGCTAAATGTCACTTTGCCAGTCAAGGCTAAGGTGGGACCAAGTTTTAATCAGACAACTATAGACACTGAGCCTCTTCTGTGAGACTAGGCCCTCTGAGGCCCTGGCCATGTGAAATGGTCCATACAGATGGGGAGTTTACATGTTAGTAGAGAGACTAATAATAAGCTAATGAGGAACCCTGAGAGAGAAGGGGACTCCCATCAAGACAGTGAGTTGGCACTGGTTAGGTGGCTCAATTGGTTGCAGGTTCGATTCACAGTCAGGGCACATACCTAGGTTTCAGGTTCTATCCCGTCAGGGGGCATGTAAAAGGCAACCAATCAGTGTTTCTCTCTCCCATTGATGTTTATTCCTCTCTCCCTATCCCTTCTTCTCTTTCTTAAATCATTAAACATATCCTCAGGTAATGATTTTTTTTTTTTTTAAAAGAATGAGTTGAAGATTCTGAAATGAGAAGGGATCTAGAGCACTGCAAGGAGAAGGAGGGGGAGTAGTGGAGTAGGGAAGCATATGGGACCTCAGATTTGGGAGCTGGGAACTGAGGGCATCTCCAATGAACAGAGGGCTGGGAACAGAGGGCTTCTCTGTGTGGTGTGCTTACTTTTATCCAGCTCAGGGTAGGGTCTTCCTTGTCCCTTCAATTGTTACTTGAGCCCATTCATTCATGTTGCTGTACATGTTGTAGTTCATTATCATCGCTTTCAATGAATACCATTTTTATTGCACTTTTTACATGACTATACCACGGTCTATCCATTCTGTTGTTGATAGACATTTGGGTTCTTTTCAGCCATGGGCTATCTACACTAATAAAAGACAAAGATGCTAATTGACCATACCTTCACTATGCTCGAGCCACGCCCACTGGGCAATCAGAGCGACTATATGCAAATTAACCCAACCAAGATGGCGGCCAGCAGCCATGGAGCTGGAACAAGCAGGAGGCTTGGTTGCCCCGGCGATGGAGGAAGCCAAGCTTCCCGCATGCTCTGGCCGGCTGTGGTCTCTGCAAAAGGCAACAAAGTTTTAATTATAGAAGCTAAATAAATCCCAGATACCTATTTCCAGCCAGCCTCCACTGCGAGCTTGGGTGGCTGGGGGATGTGGCCAGCCTGCAAACAGCCATCAGCCCCTCACCCAAGCTGGCCACACCCTCATGGGGTAGGGTCTCCACTGGGGGGCTTGGCCAGCCTGCAAAAAGCCATCAGCCCCTCACCCAGGCTGGCCAGGCACTCCAGCAGGGACCCCCACCCTGAAGGTGGTGTGGCCAGTCTGGAAACGTCCCTCAGCCGCTCACCCAGGCTGGCCAGGCACCCCAGCGGGACCCCACCCTGATCTGGGACATCCTTCAGGGCAAACCAGCTGGCCCCCACCCATGCATCAGACCTCTATCCTACATAATAATAGGGTAATATGCAAATTGACCCTAACAGCAGAGCGACTGGGAATCACTGGTCACAATGACACACACTGACCACCAGGGGGCAGACGCTCGATGCAGGAGCTGCCCCCTGGTGGTCAGTGTGCTCCCACAGGGGGAGCTCTGCTCAGCCACAAGCCAGGCTGATGGCTGCCAATACAGTGGTGGTGGTGGGAGCCTCTCCTGCCTCCACAGCAGCGCTAAGGATGTCCGACTGCAGCTAGGCTTTTCCCCGCTGGCAAGTGGACATCCCCCAAGGTCTCCTGGGCTGCCAGAGGGATGTCTGACTGCCAGCTTAGACCCAACCCCTGGGGAGCGGGCCTAACCCAACAGGTGGTTATTCCCCGAGGGGTCCCAGACTGCGAGAGTGCACAGGCTGGGCTGAGGGACCCTCCCAAGTGCACAAATTTTTGTGCACCGGGCATCTAGTGTATAATAATGCTGTTATGTACATCTTTATATACCTCTTTTAATTTCTATGAGAATATACCTCTACAAATAGAATTGTTGGGATACAGGGTATTGATATTTTAAATTTTGGGAGACAGTGCCACAGTTCCCCAAAATAATTGTCCTTATTTAATCCCACCAGTAATGCATGCAATTTTCAGTAGCTTCACAACCTGGAATAGTCAGTCTCTAAAATTTTAGCCAGTTTGGTGAGTGGGAAATAGTATTATCATTGTGATTTTAATTTTCATTTTCCTAATTACTAAAGAGGGTAAGCATCATTTCATGTTTATTGTCCATCTGGGTTTCTACTTTTGTAGAGTTTAATCAATCTCTTGCCAATGTTTCTGTTG